TGCCAACCCCCATATCCTGATGTCTAAAACAGAAAAGGCTATCTAAACACAAAAATAATGGAATAAATGACACACAAAAAGATTTCATTATTATGTCAAAACACATCTTCACCTTGTCTAACACTACTGCTTACTTCTGAAATAGGGAGAATTAAAAGAAATTGCACCCTGTCACATTTTGGCTGTATTATGCCAAATAGGGAGCTTTGCTCCCTGAAACTTGTAGGGTGATTTTTCTCATTTACTTTGTATATGGGAGCTCATTTTCAGAAAGTTTTATAGCCAAGGCATCCTTAAATATGTGCAAATAATACCACCAACTAGTGTATCATAAGAGGCTTATTAATTATACAATCAGCAGATTTCATGTACCACTCCTGAAAAGATCACTTGGGGTAAAAGGTAGTTGGCAACTAGAGCAGCTCTTCTGCAATCTGCTTGTTTGTTACTAAGAAGGCAGACCATCTCTATAGGTGCCTGCTTCTGTATGGGATTGTATAGGAGCAGCAAGCCATCACTCAGTTCCTATTTAATATAGGGATTCCTCAGCCAGTTGATCCTCTAGCATTGGAGGAGAAAGAGTGTACTCTCAAGTACTTTGCAAGCAAGAAGCACCCTTGAGACAACAAGACATAAGGTAACCTGCAGGTTTGGAAGTTGTTCTGGCAATGATGGCCAATGGAGAGGACCTGGTAGAAGTTTCTCACAGGTGTTCTCCCTATCCTAATGCTGTAATTTTGTGCAGAGCACTCCCCTCTTGGGAAGGAAGTCAAAGGTGTTTGGTTTCTGTTTATATGGTACATATTTCCTCTCTGATCTTAACGACTGGTCACCACTATCCTCAACTGTCTATGTATCAAAAGTTCAGTTATTCAGAAGTTTAAAAACAAAACAACTCATAGAGGCCAACATTCTGGCACAACTGGTTAAGCTACCACTTGTGAAACTGGCACCCATTTTGGAGTGCTGGTTCAAGTCCCAGCTGTTTCACTTCTGATCCAGTTCCCTGCTAATGGACCTGAGAAGACAGAGGAAGGTGGTCTGAGTACTTGGGCCCCTACCACCCATGTGGTAAACCCACATGGTCTCGATTTTGGCCTGGCCCAACCTTGGCTGTTCTGACCATTTGGGGAGAAAATTAGCACTTTGCCTTTAAAAATAATAAATAAATAAACAAACAAATAATATTTTTTTTAAAATGAAGCCTTAGAGCCCATTTTATACTTTCAAATCATTTTACTGTATCATGTAAGTCTGTACAGAGTGTACAGTAGGGCTCTTCCTGGATAGGCCCTCCAGTTCTGTACCTTTTTGGAGAACAAGGCTTATGGAGTATGCCCAGAGCTCAGTGCTGTGGCATAGGGAGTAAAGCTGATACCTACACTGTGGCATCCACTTCATGTCCAGGCTGTATCACGTCCCATTCAGCTCCCTGCTACTGATCTGAGAAAAGCAACAGAAGATGGCATAAGTGCTTAGGCAGGGGAGATCTGCATGAAACTCCTGGCTTCACCCTGCCCAGCTCCAGCCATCGCAGTCATTTGGAGTGTGAATCAGAGGATGAAAGAATTCTCTGTGTCTTTCTCCCTCTCTTTGTAATTCTGCCTTTCAAATTATCAAATTAATCCTAAATAAATGAATAAATGTCCTTAGAAATAAGTATTTAATTTTAGACTTTAAAAAAAAATTTTAAAGGAAAATATATAGAGAAAAGGACAGAGAGAAACAGAGAGAAAGAGAGATCTTCCAGCCACAGGTTCACTTCTCAAATGCTGCAGTGGCCAGAGCTGAGCTAACCCAAAGCCAAGAGCTGCTTTCAGGTATTGCGCATGGGTACAGGGGCCCAAGGATTTGAGCCATCCTCTTCTGCCTTCCAAGCCATCAGCAAGGAGTTGGATCAGAAATGGAACAGCCGAGACAGGAATTGGTACCCAAAAAGGATGCTGGTGCTTGCAGGTAGAGGATTGGACTGTCAAACCACAGAGCCAGACCCTAAAAATAAATATTTTTTAAATAAAGTTTGTCATGAAGGAAACAATGTGGAAATAATAGTCTTACCCACTTTCCTATAGCCCTTGAACCTTTTTACCCCAATTAACTATGTGAAGATTGTCAAAAATATAATAAAAAATAAATAAAGTTTGTCTAACAGAAATTTAATTAAAAAAAAAAAAAGACAGGATAGAGAGAAAGAAATCAGATAGCTGCAATAACCAGGCAAGGCCAAAAAATGATGCGCTTTTCACTCCATTCGGTCTCCCATATGGGCAGCAGGATTCAAGTACTTGAATCATCTGCTTTCCTAGGTGAATTAGCAGGAAGCTAGATCAGCAGGACTTGAACCCATGATGTAATAAGTTTCATGTAGGGACTTAACATACTGAGTCAGAACACCAGTCCCTAAACATGTTTTAAAACATATTATTAGTCTCTTTTAAGTTTTTAGTTTTGATATTATTTATTTGAAAGTCACAGAGAGGGAGAGCGACGTTCATCTGATGTTTCACTAACCAAATAGCCACAGTGGAGCTTCCTGGTCTCCCATTCGCATGCAGGGTCCCAAGGCTTTGGGCCATTTTCTACTGATTTCCCAGGCCACAAGCAGGGAGCTGAATGGGAAATGGAGCAGCTGAGACACAAATATGGGATTCCAGAACCCATGTGGGATCCCAGCATCTACCAAGTGAGTATTTAGCCACTGAACCATCACGCCAAACCTTGTACTTGCTTTATGTTCAAGTTTCGTTCCCTTCATTTTAAATTGTAAAGAGCCAATAAATTCCCCACTCTCTCACCTGCAAACACATACAGATACATCATCCCTGGTTTAGTGACTCTTTGTAGATTGAATGATAAGCTACGAGGATTACATTTTCTATGATTTCAATTTCTTGACAGTGTCCAGAATTTCACACTTGCCTACACTTGTAGCCAGAGGGCTATAAAGTTGATAGCACAGCTATCAATTTGCTAATGAGTCATAAATTACCTCTTACTCTTGTTCAAGGAAACTTGAGTTACAAAGGACAATATGGTTGTTTCAGCACCATCTAGAGGAAAGTCTAGAAATATATAAATGCTGTTTCGCTATTGTCAATAGTTTATTTTTTAAAGGTGTATTTATTTTCACTTGAAGGGCAGATTTTACAGAGAGAAAAGGTGAGATAGAGAGAAGACCTTTTTTTGTATTAGTTTACTCCCCAAATGGCCACAGCAGCTAGAGCTAAGCTGAGCTGATCAGAGGCCAGGAGCTTCTTCAGGGTGTGCTATGCAGGGTCCCAAGGCTTTGGACCATCCTCCACTGCTTTCCCAGCCCACAAGCAAGGATCTGGATGGGAAATGGAGCAGCTGGGACATGAACTGGCATCCATGTGGTATCCTGGCACTTGAAGGGATAGGATTAGCTTTCTAGCCACCACACTAGCCCCTCAATTATTTATTTAAATCCAGACTTCACCCTTCCTATGTTTTTGTTTTTTTTCACTAAATATGTCATGATATGATATGTCAAAATTTCATTCACTTGGCCATTCAACCAAACTATTTTTATTTGCTGCCTAATAGCATGTTTTCATTTTATGTATTTATCCCTTTGGACTGTAAGATACATATAAATGAATTGGGACTAATTTTATGTATCTTTATACCCTTACCTACTAATAGAAACTCAGAAATAGGTATAGACATTACAGCCAACTTTAATGGGTTAAATATCCTATAGCCATACAGGTAGCTCCTGAGAAATATTAAAGAGTGGTATCTTTAACACAATACTAAGTAAATTAAAATATGTTAAATCAAAATAATACACATAATAAATATAAGAAAAATGTGAACAAAAATGTACACATCAAACATAGAATGGCTCTCAGGAGGAGAGCATTTAGCTGCTGTTTTGAGGGTGACATTATTGTGGTACAAGGGACTCAGCTGCATCTTGCAGTACTGGCATGCTATCTCAGAGCACCAGTGTGAGTCCTGACTGCCCTGCTGATGCACCTGGCAGAGCAGCAGATGATGACCTGAGTGCTTGGACCCTTGCCATACATGTGGGAGAGCTGGATGGAGTCTCAGGCTCCGGGCTTCAGTTTGGCTCAGTCCTGGTTCTTGTGGCCATTTGGAGAGTGAATCAGGCAATGGAAGTCCTCTGTGTCTCTTCATCTCTGTCATTCTGCTTTTCAAACAAATAAATCTTACATATTGCTTAGAATGTCCCCAACCCTTACAAAATACCTGTATATGGTCCCTGGTTCCATTTCTAATTCCAACTTGCTGCTTTAAGCACACCCTGCGAGACAGCAGGCGATGGCTCAAGTCCTTGTGTACCTGCCATTCATGTGGAAGACCCAGGTTGAGTTCTGTGCTCCTGGCATCAGCCTGGTCAGCTCTTGGCTATTTCAGATATTTGACTAATGAAACAATGCTGAGGGCCCGGCGCGGTGGCGCAAGTGGTTAAAGGTCCTCGCCTTGCACGCCCGGGATCCCATATGGGCGCCGGTTCTAATCCCGGCAGCCCCGCTTCCCTTCCAGCTCCCTGCCTGTGGCCTGGGAAAGCAGTCGAGGACAGCCCAAAGCTTTGGGAACCTGCACCCGCGTGGGAGACCCGGAAGAGGCTCCGAAGTATCGGCCCGTTGCGGTCACTTGGGGAGTGAATCATCAGACGGAAGATCTTCCTCTCTGTTTCTCCTCTCTGTATATCCGCCTTTCCAATGAAAAAATAATAAAAATAAATCTTTAAAAAAAAAAAAAAGAAACAATGCTGAGATATCTCTGCCCATCTCTCCCCCTCTCTGGCTTTCAAGTAAATAAGAATAGAATGGGTCGAAGTGGTCAGCTACAGCATAATTCTCTAAAATTGGGTAAATAATTGAATAACAAAACTAAACTAAAAACAAGAACCTCTCTGTTCTTACCAGATTCAGAAAACAGCATGTCTGAATAGCAGCTGTTGGAAGATAGTAAATGAAGCAGCCTAACACAAAACCAGAAGTATTTTTAATTGCATTTAATTCATGTTTTTGTTTAACTTGCGAACACTGACACACATATGCAAAAATAAATCCTCTTTTGCAACCCAGAATTCATTAATCAATATGGGTTTTGATACATTCAAGCAGTAATTGAAAAAAATAAATTATTTAAAAATTATTACTATTATTATTATAAAGAAATACAGGGGAGAGTGGAAGAGGGCAAAGAGAGAAGAGAAGAGCTTTCATCTACTGGTTAACTCTCCAAATGGCTGCAGTGGCCTAGGGTTGGATCAGGTCAAAGCCGGAACCCGGAACTCCACCTGGGTTTCCCATGGGGGGGTGGTCCAAGTGCTTGGGGCATTTTCCACTGCTTTCCTAGGTGTGTTAGCAGAGAGTTGCATCTAAAGTGGAAAATCTAGGATTCAAGTGTAGCAAGGGACAACTTAACCCAGTGCTCCACAACAACAGCCTAAGTAGAAGTTTTTATCCTATTTTCTGTAACTTATTTTACTACGCTAACCCACCAATTATGACAGTCAACAAATATTTGCCTTTTATTTATTTGAAAGACACAGTGCAGAGACATTGGGAGATCTTTCTAGCCCTTGGGTTATTCCCCCAAGTTCCTGCAACAGCTAAGCCAGGCCAAAGCCAGGAACCCAAAGCTCAATCCAGATCTTCCGTGTGACAAGGACCTAAATATTGGAACTATCACCTGCTTCCTCCCAGGATCTACATTAGCCGGAAGCTGGAACTGGAGTCAACCAGGAGTCACACAGGCGTTTCACTTGGGATTCCATCCCAAGCATCATCTTAGCCACTGCCCCCAAAAGTGCTTATCTAGCATCAATTATGAAACCAACTTCTCAACACAAGCTGTTCTCTGACACACAGCCTCAGCTTATCATCTCAGGGAGTTACTGTTAGGTATGATGTTCATCCCAGGTCCTTGTAGGATTTACAACATCCTCTATTCTTTCTCTGACATCTCATACTTCAGGCTATCCCACAACATACAATCCAAGTGGCAACTTAACCATCTGAGCCACAGCACTCATCCCCACCCATTTTTTCATTAAGATTTATTTATTTTTATTGGAAAGGCAGATTTACAGAGAGAACAGACAGAAAGATCTTCCTTCCTCTAGCTCACTGCCCTAATGGCCTCAACAGCTGGAGTGTGGTACCATTTCCGGGTTCCCCATGCAGCTGCAGGGTCCCAAGGTTTTGGGCCATCCTCTAGTTTTCCCAGGCTACAAGCAGGGAGCTGGATGGGAAGTGGAGCAGCTGGGAGATGAACTAGTGCACGTAGGGAATCCTGGTGCTTGCAAGGTAAGGATTTAGCCACTAGGCTATCGCTCCAGACACTGTCTTCCCTCCTTCTGTCCCCAAAGTAACTTTTAACAAATACTAGCTCCCAGCCCAGGAACTATGGATCTTCATACCTTTTCTTTCTTTTTTTTTTTTTAAATCTCAGTGTTTATTACAACAGTAATAAAAGTCTGACAAGTAATAGTAAATAAGTTAAATGAATCTTCATCCACACAAGACAGACACTGTTCCATTTGATCAGCTGTTAAGGAACAATTTATCCTAAAACAGATTTTCTGAAAGTACCCTTGTACACAGTGACTGTAGGTGAGAAATTCATAAGTGGTGGTCTGTCTCAGGATCTCCCATGTGGTTGCCATCAGTTGGCTATAGCTGCATTCATCTAAAAGCTTGTTTGGGGCAAGAAAATCATCTGCAGTATGGGTTCATACATCGTTATTGGCAAGAAGCCGCAATTCCTGGCCATGGAGACCTCTCTGGGACTGCTTAAGTGTACTCACAGCGTGGCAGCAGGTTCATTCACAGGAAAAGCCAAGGAGGACTCTACAATAATGCCACTGTCTTTTGTCACCTAGTCTCATCATTTCTACCATGTTCTGTTTGTTAGAATCAAGTTGCTAATAGCAGCCCATGGGAATCAGGCAAGCGTGTGAAAGCATTTATAGATGTATTTGTAACTACCACAGTCAGGCACCCTGAGACTCTGAGTTGAATAAACACACTACCCCCTGGAGAAAGTAAGAGAGGATTTCAGAGCAGTGGTTATCTTGCCACTGGTATTCCTCCTTAAAACTTTAATAATGGCTGTACTCTTGATTAAAAGAAATGTTTTTCTTTTTAAGATTTATTTTATTTTTATTGCAAAGTCAGATATATAGAGAGGAAGATCTTCCATCCATTGATTCATTCCCCAAGTGGCCACAACAGCTGGAGCTGAGCCAATCCAAAGCCAGGAATCAAGAGCTTCTTCTAGGTCTCCCACACAGGTGCAGGGCCCCAAGGCTTTGGGCTATCCTTGACTGCTTTCCCAGGCCACAAGCAGGGAGCTTGTGGTCCCTGGGATAGGAAGCAGGGCTGCCAGGTTTAGAACCAGTGCCCATATGACGTGTGCAAGGCAAGTACTTTAGCTGCTAGGCTAACGCTACAAACTTAAAAAAAAAAAAAACTAGTGAAATAGGTCCCAGTGCGATGGCTCAACTTCTGCCTACAAGCACCCACATCCAATGTGAATGCCAGTTCGTGTCCTGAAAGCTCTGCTTCCCTTCCAGCTCCCTATTTGGGGCCTGAGAAAGCAGTAGAGGATGGCCAGAAGCCTTGGGACCCTGCATGGAAAACCTGGAAGGAGCTCCTAGCTCCTGGCTTTGGATCAGCTCAACTTTAGCCATTGCAGCCTCTTGGGAAGTGAACCAGTGGGTATAAAAGCTCTCTCTTTCTCCCCTTCTCTGTGTAAAGCTGCCTTTCCAATAAAAATAAATAAATGTTTTATCTTTAAAAAAAGAAAATGTTTTAGTTTTTAGTACTTTCTCTCTAGCTTCTGTGTTATATTTAGGTCAGAGAAAGATTAAGTCTAAAAACAAATTAGGATGTATATTGAGGTAGTCCATGAGCCTGTGGAGTGGTAGAAGTGGAGATACAGTCAAAATCTAGATGCCTTTTGAAGGTTGAGCCAACAAGTTTTTTTTTGTTTTGCTTTAAAGATTTACTTATTTTTGTTGGAAAGGCAGATTTACAGAAAGGAGAAGAGACAGAGAGGAAGATCTTCCATCATTTGATTCACTCCCCAAGTGGCCACAATAGCCAGAGCTAAGCTGATCCAAAGCCAGTAGCTTTTTCCAGGTCTCCCACCTGGGTGCAGGCTCCCAAGGTTTTGGTTTGTCCTCGACTGTTTTCCCAGGTCACAGGCAGGAAGCTGGATGGGAAGAGGGACGGCCAGGACAGGAACCAGCATCTATATGGGATCCTGGTGCATACACTGGAAGTCTGAGGTCTCTTGTTCAGACATAGAATGGCAATGTCAAATTTGCAATTAGATATGTGCACCTCTAATTGGGGAGAATGATTGAGGCTAGCGATGTAAGTTTGTCTCAAGCACACATGTAGTGACTACAAAAGACCCTCACAAATAGCTAGGATCAGGGAGAAAAACAGGCAGATGTTGTGTCCTGGAAGCCAAGTGAAAGAATTATTCCAGGAGGTCGTGATCAGCTACACAGTTAGGTACTAACAGAGACAGTAACGAGGGGCTCTTAGACCTGGATCAGTCTGAATACAGGAAGGATTAAGGTTTCCGATGTCCTCTGCAGCAAAGCAGTACTGCTTTAGAACTGGGTTTGTGTCTGCATTGTAGCCGCCTGTGAATACTTCCCATACAAGTTTGTAAACCATACTTGCAGACCTCACTTCCAAACTGGTCGCCTGTAAAAAGACTAGTCAGCACTCCAAAACCTCATGATGATTAATGAAATTACGTGCTTAGAACTTGATGAACATGCAGGTAACCAGCTAGTGAAACACAAAGCACTAGTCATTCCTGCTATAATTTTTTTTTAAGATTTATTTTATTTTTATTGGAAAGTCAGAATTACAGAAAGGACAGGCAGAGAGGAAGATCTTCCATCCGATGATTCACTCCCCAGGTGGCCACAACAGCTGGAGCTGAGCCAATCTGAAGCCAGGAGCCTCTTCCAGGTCTCCCACGCAGGTACAGGGTCCCAAGGCTTTGGGCTGTCCTCGACTGCTTTCCCAGGCCACAAGCAGGGAGCTGGATGGGAAGTGGGACTGCCGGGATTAGAACCAGCACCATATGGGATCCTGGTGCATGCAAGGCAAAGATTTTTAGCCACAAGGCTACTGCTCCGGGCCCTTGTTTTATTTATTTATTTTTTATCTTCAACCTATTTGCTGCCCTAAAGCTAGTCCCTAGTAGAGAAACTAGGTCTGTTAAGTAATATGTTCTGCTTTGCCTCCCTATCCTCTTATTCTCCCAGCTGTCTTAACTCAGAACCTTTGTAGGAAGCATGTTACACTTCAGCAAAATGTGTTCCCTTTGACATTTAAACAATCCTCCATTTTGTCTTTCCATATTAGACTCTTTCCCTTTCCCTTTCACATTTCCAGCACTCTGAGCTGTCTTCTTTTTCCTCATTCACTGTTGCTAAGGTTTGCAGATTACACCAGAAGAAGCCAGATTTATAAACATGTGTTCCTACCCAGCTGTTTCAAGAATAGGAGTAACATTCATCTTCAGAGTGTATGTCTGCTCTCTCTGATCTCCTCTGATAAATGAGGTGCCTATCTCCTAAGTCCTACCTTGTCTGCAAATAAATGGAGTCTTAGGCTACTGAAATTGACAAAGCAAGGAACAGACATTCAGTATAGCCCCATCAGAGTGCCTGGGTTCTGTCCCCAGCTCTGCTGGATCCTGAGTCCAGCAGGTATGGGAGGTAACAGGTAAGGGCTCAAGATCTTCCATCCACCGGTTGCAGTCCTGAAATGCCCACATTAGACAGCGCTGGGCCTGGTCGGAGTCTAGAGTTCCCCCCAGATCTTCTACAGAGTGACAAGGCTCCCAGAGTGTGCAGTACAAGAAAGCTGGCTCAGAAGCAAAGTTGTAGGCATCACAGTATGGGATGTAGGCAACCCAGCACCCTTCTTCATATTGAAAATACAGTAACAACAAGTCCCATTGATACTGCAAGAATTGAAGTAGCCTTAACTGGAGGGAGACATTTACTTGAAATCCTTGAGCTAGTAGCCAGAAAAAAATTTAGTCTAATTATGTCTTAGGAGATAATGCCATTTCCTTAAGATTGCTAGCAC